CCTACCCTGTCTTTGGTCTTCCTCTTGCTTCTAATGTATTGATAAAATACATTGATAAAATCATGTCACAAATACCAAACAAGTAACATCTATTCAATTCAGAGGGAGTGATTTTTACTCAAACTGATTTCTTGTTTGTTTTTCTTAGCAGCTACTGAACTCAAACACCTAACAAAAAATTGGAAGAAAGGCTCTTTTGCTACACATTCACCCTTTCCTTTCAAGTAGGTGCTGTAAAATCTCCCAAACCACATCTTCGGGTCCCCTAAGGAAGGTTGATATTTGAAGGTTAAAAAACCCCAAAACATTCATTTATTTTAGAAATCAAGCCCTTTAGAGCTATCTTAATACTACACTATCAGTAAATAAAAATGAAGAGGCAAAGACCCTCTTCAAGTCACCTTTAAGACTTGAACCACTGTGATGCATACCAAAACTAGTAACTTGAGACTTTGGTGATAGGTACTCTAGTTCTCCCCCTTCTTACCTTAAAAATTAGCTTCTTTCATTAGAGACTGGCATACTGCTACTTCACCCTCCCATAGGCAGCCTTAACTACAAGCTGAATTATGAATATGTGGGCACAGACTGGTCTTAGGCCAATAAATAGGTTACACTTCCCCAAAAAGGTGAAATAATCACCATGTAGTTTAGCAAAACTAGCTGCAGCGTGAAGACCAAAGCTTGATTCCATGCACTACAGAACAGTTGGGGACAGCTATGAAATATCCACTGGGTAAAATTTTCTGAAGGCTCTTAATCCCATTTTCAAAAATGATTCAGGCATTTACAAGATGGATTGATTTAAATCACCAATTTTAATCATTATTTACATCAGCAAGAAATCATTGATTTTAACCCTGTTTTGCATTTATACTTCAGCCATTTTCCTAAAGAAAGGTTTGTTCTCATTGGTTGGTACAACCATTAAAACATATTGATTTGCAAATAAATATAACCTTTATACTAAATGTGGTACTTTTTGCTAACAGGAGAATACCCTGTATTTATACACACTTATTTAAACAATTGTATAGTTTAACATAATTAAGAATATGAATAAATATATTTCCTTTTTATTATTAGAAAATGGTTAATGATACATTTTTTATTTACTAGATTATTAATTTTTTACTGCGGATTTATGTTGATTTACATTTGGATGGCAATTGGAATTAATTTGAAAATGCACAAGAAAAACATTTAAAAATTGTTTATCAATAAAATAAAACTACCTTAAATGTGCTGAATACAGATTTATTTAACAAAGGAAGTATAAATTGTAGTTAGTGAATTGTCAGATTGGAAATCTGGCCTATGGTGACCAGGAAATAAAAAACGGTATCTGGGGGCCAACAGTGCTGATAGGCATCTAGCCTGATTAGATACTTTTCAAAATCCCACTAGGAGCCTATCTGCATATTTAGGCACCTAAATACCTTTGAAAATCTGGCCCCTTGTCCTTCAACTTTTAGACTTAATAGATTTAATTCTCTTTCACACCTGGTTTTTATTCATAGATTGGATGAAAACATGTTTTCCTGTTTTTTCAACTCCCGGTTGGTTCCTCAGTTTTGAATGAATTAGTCCAAATGAAGAAAATATTTTCTCTTCATCTGCTAGATAAACTGAAAACAAAAGTAATTAAGGCAAAAGCTTTTCTGCTCAGCAGAAACTGAAAGTAAATGTAAATACTAGCATTCACTCAATTGCAAAGATTAAAAATAATATAGATACTGAATGCGGTATTGTGACTTTATAAAGCTTAATTGACTGCAAAAGTTAGAGATGTTACAGAGAATCCCCCCTGATTCTCTGTATCATAAAAAAAGCTGAACTCATTAACTCATTAACATTTGAGGAGGGCTCATTAAAGCAGCATTTTTTTTTATTTATTTAAATTATTTTAATAGATTATAGTAAATTTAGGCCTTAACATAAGCCATTTTAAAAAGGTTTTTAAAAACAAAAAATTAATTTAAATAAACTCTTATTTTGAGTTCTTTTTAAATAGATTTTTACCCATCCTGAACACTTAGGAACCTAACTCTCACTCTCTTTCAATGAGACGTAGGCACCAAAATGCCTAAAACTCTTTTAAAAATAGAACCAAACCACTTTAAGCACTTTTAAAAACTTCACCCATTGTCTTCAGAAGGGAAGGAATAGGTTCATCTGTCTAGACAACTATGAGATATACGAGGTAAAGACAAAGGTACCAAGAAATTCCTCTCAAATTTTATCTGGAGTATTAATCTGGGGTAATTATCAACCCCAAATAAGCTTAGCTAGACTAGAGGAAAGTTCCAAGTGGCACTTAAACCTGCCTCACCAATACACAATATTAGAAACAATGACAGACACATGATGTAGGGAAAGCAACAAAAAAAAAAAAAAATTAAAGTTTTTTTTTTTTTTTTTTAATTCTAATTCCTTAGTTGTCACCCATTTGGACTTTCAGAGAACAGAGAATAACATCAGGGAACTAAAGCCAAGTCTGGTTTTGATATACATAATACTACTTTATTCTTTTTATTTTTTCTTACTTTTCTTACAGTTTTAAAAATGTACAGGGGTTCAGAACCACCTCCATAAAACAATGCGTACATTTTTATTTTTAAAGGGACTACTGTAGTCAAACCATTGGTGTGCAAAGAGGGTTGACTTCCATTATGAAAAGTCATAGGCACAATTTCATTATATGCATTTTGGTAAAATAAGGAACTATAGCGCAGCTGTTAAGAGGAGCAATAGTTAGGCCTTTTAAAAAAAAAAAAACAAAACAAACCACCATCTGAGAAAATGGCACCTTGGGTCAAAAATAATATTTAAAATATTTCACTACCTGCCATACTATATCTGAACCCCAGGCAATTTATTACACATGTAGTGCCCTTGCAAAGTATTTTATTTAAGCGGTGAACCTGAAAGGCAATACAAAAGGCAATACGGAGGCTCTTATCTGTATTTTATACTAAATTGTCTCTCCACCTCCTCCTCTAATAAATATCTATTTAATAACTGCACAAAAGTATTTCTCTTAGAGCAAGTAATTCTTTTTTTAAATCCTGTAGACTTAAAATTGACCTACTCCATATGCTATGAAACATTAGGCACAGACCACATACTTTACATTTTCTTTTTTAAAAAAATACAATATGTGCAAGCTAGGTTCACACAAAGGATTGGCAGCTACAACAGTAAACTATTCAGACCCCACAGAAAAGTTATTTTCCATTTAAAAAAAAATTTTAATTCACTGAGCAGTGATGTTACACTGCTGTGTGTGGTTATCATATTTGCATTAGGATTATTTGTGTAACTGTTAAAGGAAAAGCTTTAGTACATCCTAAAGGACACCACATCAATACTGTGTGCTAATTCAGCAGGATCCAGAGAACAAAGTTTGTAAAAGTTATTAGAATATGGTGAATGCAATCATCAAGCTAGTAAAAATTTTCTGAAGGAAGAAGTTATTTGAAATTATGTTTATCTGACAGGCTCTTTCATTAACTAAGTCACTTCTGAATAATGGAACCCAGGGTGCAGGGCATGAAAAAAAAAATGGAAATGGGGTGTGGGGGGGAGGGGGAAGCAGGCTTTGTGGAAGCTGCACCAGAAATGCAAAAAATAAAACTAACTTTATCCAAAAAGTGTACCCATCCGTTTCTTTAATTTGTATGAGGTTTTGGGGGGAAGGGAAAGGGTTTAGCGGCTATTTGTACAACTGAAAATAGTACAAGACACAAGCAAAGACTATGTGCAGCTGATTGTTAAATTGCAACATTTATTATGCATCCTCTGTTGATGTCATTTATGGAGAGCCACCCACTGTGTTTAAAAAAGTTTATTTTAATGCGAGAGACTACTGTATATCCTGCCACATATATAATATATGACTATTTCTCTACAAGGAAAAAAATTTAATAAGTCACTAATTTATCCTAAGGGGGGCCTGCTTTGAAGTGCCTGTTATATCATGCCCTGCGGAAGATATGAGATATTGATTTCTTTCATCTTCTGTTAAATTTCTGTCATACCACCACACAATTTCACAAGACCCATATTCATAATAATTTGTGTACCCTTTCAGTGCCCTTTAATAGCAACCTTTTCCTTTATTCCGAATTACTTCCAAACCCACATCTCATGTCATAGGAACTATTCAAGTAAATATTTCTGTTGTGGCAAATTTCCAGATGTATCAAATGCTATCCAAACCCAATGTCAGATTGCATTTCATTAGTTGTCCCAGTTTTCTTTAAATGGAGCAGGAATTAGCCCGTTTTCTAGGTTTGGGGTCCCGTACATCCTTGTCTTTTAAACACATACAAGATGAACATATTGTCTCTGACAGTCTCCGGAGTCCCAGCCTGAAAACACTGTTGGAGAGGCTATATATCACACAGTTGCAGAAACTATTGCTTATAGCAAGCCATGTTGTTAAGAAGGAAAGTGCTGGATTATCCAGCACCCTAGAGCTCTCCAGCAGAAAGTATATGATATAGGGGAGCCAAAGCATGTAAAACACACTGGTTATCCGAAATAAAACCATGGCATAGCGGCGGTCAGGGCTGTGCCCAGTCTCTCCAGCAGCATCCACTTCATGGCTAGGAAAACGAGCTCTCCGGTCATTTATCTCTTTGGTGTGCTGCCGGCAAATTTTGAAGATGTGGAAATATGTGAAGCAGATTACCAAAGCAGCTGGAGCATATAGTAAGCACACAATAAAGCCAGTAAAATAAGCATTGGTGAGCCAGGAGATAGCACACCATTCAAAAATATCTCCATGGTAACCAGGTTTCCCCCAACCAAAAAAGGAAGGCAAGAAGATCAGACAAGAGTATATCCAGATCAAAATGATACAGATTCTCAAGCGACAAGGCGTGACCAGTTGATTATAGGAGAGAGGTTTTGTAATAGCAAGATAGCGGTCAACACTGATGCAAGCAAGACATGCCATGGAGACACTCTTCAGCACAGAGATGATATATCCAAAAACCTGACAAGTCAAGGACTCATGGACACCTGTAGAGTAGTGAAGCAATGATAATGTAGGAACCAGGCAGCTAACTCCAACAAAAAGATCAGCATAGGCCATGGTCTGAATAAAATAGCTGGTGGTATAATGATGTAAGAGCGGAGCACAGTGAAAGACAAATATTACAGTTAAATTACCAGCAATAATTAAAAATGTTAGCAAAACAATAATGACTGTCTCAAGGATGCAGATGTCGACTGCATTGTAGTGGCCAAATCCTAGCGGACAAGAGAGATGCTCAGACACATTCACAATGCTACTGCTCATGTTCAGAGTCCTCCATTCAGTCCATCTGGAGTGGTTCATGGTTTGGGATTCGGTAACACTGCAATCGGAGCTACGGTGAGCAAGTGACCTGCCCAACATCAGCTAAACTCTGCTTCAGAGTCTCATGATCTCATTTTGTAGACACGGCCAGCACTTTTCTCAGGGAGGTTACAGTCTCATAGCTATTGATGCCTCTTCAGCATCAATGCAACACTCTGACACACCTTAGCTTTGAGGAAAGAAAAAAAAAGCCAGAAAGAAGAAAAAAGGCCACTGACAGGTTTCCTCCAGTGCTCTTGATCCATCTTTGTCAAACACAAGGCACTTCTAAAGAAAACAGGTTCTTTTTACTGTATTTGTGGAAGATGAAAATAAAAACAAACAAAAAAAAGGCAGGGGAGGGGGGAGAGACAGGAAAAAGTCAACTGCCTCAAAAAAAAAATTCTGTGATTGTTTTTTCCTGAGAAAGGCAGTTTCTTTGGAATTAGCAAGAAAAATACAAAGAATAAAAAGGGGAAAATGTCTCAGTACAACACAGGTTTCATGAATCAGCAATCTTTAGAAACAAATTAATGTTTTATGTTCATTTAAATAATTAAATCACAAAATGTCTGGAAAACCAAGGAAAAGTTCACCGTATTGTGCTGTGTCTTTTGGCTCTGTTCAGGAGATCTTTTCTTCATATATTCTATTCATTAGAGAGGTAAGGAAAACATTTCTGTCCAGGGTAATTCCAATAGACTCACCACAGCTTGTGTATGAATAATGAATTTTATTTGGAGGGAGAAGGGTATGGGGAAAGCCAGGTTTGTCCTCTGACTCCCAGGAAGGAAAACATACATCTACCTGTACACTGAGGAAGATCATGTGTAATCACTTAAAAATCAGAAAAATGTAAGCATAAATTTTGGAGCTTTAAGTCAGTATTCAAAACTCTCTTAAACAGTTACGGTCCACTACAACTATCAATGTCAGCAGCACAATCCAAGGTCCTCACAGACAAAATAAATCCTTCTTGCATTTCATTTCAGCAGTGATGATCAAATATAATTTTCTTCAGAAATAATGCCATATCTGCTACAGTGGATCAGTACAGTGAAGTTCATGGGTATATCCATGATATTTCTCACCTCTGTAGCAACACCTGAATCCTTTCACAAGCTCCATACAACAAGAACAGAAACTTCCATCTGCATTCTGCTGTGAAGCTAATGAAATGCTGATCAGACTAGAAAAGCTGCCATTGTTTACTCCATTATTCTGTCATTCAGCTTCATCTTCTAGGCTGCCACAGACTTTCTGTTTTTATTAGACGATTAGCATGATAAATCACTGCTTTAAAAACCAGATCTTCTAATAGCTGGACATTACCTGTTAATTGTATTTGCGGTTATGGAGCAGCCATACGTTAAAGAAAGCCTCTTCTGTATTCATTTTTGAGTAACTGCTTGATTAGTGCAAGGACCATTAGCTAGGTTACTAAATGTACACAGTCTTGTTTTTAAAAAAGCCCCAGAAATACTAAAAATATCTTTAATCCTAGAATTCCTGAGATTAGGAAGAGGCAGACAAGAACGAATCAATCCAAATAAAAAGATTTCCAAGGTCATGTAGCTATTATATTAGCATTTGTTTAATGTCCCTTTAAAAGTACTGACATCTCACTGATGCTTTTGATAGTCTTCACTGTCCTTCTGAAGGAATTTCATTCACTAGAAAAGAAACATTTTCTCCACTTCTGATGCAGTAGTTTGATAGAAAGCATTCTTTTGAAGTTAATTTTCCAAGGTGCACCATCATGCTGTACAGAAGGTTCTTTTTGATTTTATAACATCCCCAAAACACTTGCCAGTTGTTCATTCTCTCTGTTTATAAGTAATTTAATCTGTTACAAAATTACTACTTTTTAAAAAAATTCTCTTGCTACAGCAATAAACCAATGTTTCTCACCTATGTTCATTCTTATCAGCTGCTACGGTGAACTGCTTGATACAGAAGTCCTATTTACTGTGAGGCTGTTTCAAGGATGCTGTCACTATTCCTCACATTCTCTCTCAAAATTATTGCTTGCACCTGAGCCTGCTGCTCCTCTTTATCCTTAGCTGATGCAGAAGAACTCACTATCAGAAAGGTGACTCGGTCCTTCTGCCCCAATCAACAGCACAGCCAATGGCTAAAGCAGCTGAAATTGTCACTAGGTAACAGTTGCCAGGCACAATGCAGGCTTACACAGCAAGAGGCAAATAAGAATGACAAATTAAGACAATGGAACTGACCATTTCCCTATAATATATTAATGGTATTTGGAAACTTCTGAAAGAGGCTTCCCTTCTAGTACTTCCACAGGGTTATATCCTGCAGATTAGCAAAACATGAAATTATTCATAGATGTACCTTTGCATACCACATAGAAACTACCATAATATTACTATAACAATCACCAGTTAAAGCAAGTCAGCAGTAATCTAATCCTTATTGGCAGGAAAGTCCTATTAATTATTAAACAAATAAGTGCTAACCTTCATAAAGTCAAACTGATTGTTTTAAAAAATCAAAAACATGCTGTTCTATTTTGATCTGTAAAAGTTTAAAATCAGCTTCTACCCTCTTATCAATTCAAATTACTGAACTATTTAAACAACACAAATGTAGACACGTTAATATAACTACAAAATCATAAAAAATACATATAAGCAATGTTTAAGATCCAAAATAAATACCCAAATGCAAAGACATTTAAAATTAAGGCTCAAACTAGCTAATTAATTCGCTCTATTATGTCTAGATATGCAGAGGTCTCAGCACAGTATATTTTTGGAGTATACAGCATTATCTACTGCAATACCTAAATACAATGTTGAGAAAGTTATTCTCACAGTATTTGTTAGGAATGAATCTAACATTTATTGCTTCTAAATGTTTAAGTGATTTAACATTAACCAATTATTTGTTTTAGTTTAATGTAAAAAAAAATGAGGGGAGTTACCAATGGATTTTAAAGGGGTAAATTAAAATAAGTCCCTAAAATTATTCAAAATGTGTAACTGTATATTTAGTAAATTATTAAAAAAAGATTTTTGGTCAGAACAATTTTCTTTCAGTAGGTGAGTGTGAGACAATGTAACAGATCATTGTAGTGTTAAAGTCTACAGATTTTTTAAACTCCATTAACTGATTTATGTAATACCAATAGATATTCATGATATTATTCCTCTTCTGGTTATGGATATTAAATATGTGTTTTGTCATTCCATGATACAAAATGAGCATAAACTAAAATGATTACATTCATACTAGACACATTTTTAACACAAAATTGAAACATTCAGTATATTCAGAAAATACCCAATCATACACCAATACAGCACAGCACAATTTTGGCTAAAGACCAGCAAAATACATTTGTCACAGGTTTGGTTTTAGAGAGTGAATAAAATAGAATAAAGTATCTAATTACTAAGTCTTGTAATTCTGCTACATCAAACCACAGACCAAATTTGGCAAAAGTTGCTCCTGGGTTAACACCTTGTATTGCAAATTCAGCCTGGAGCAAATTTTCAAGGCTGAACGACAAATCTCTAGAAATCAGAACTGCATACAGAACTGAAGCAACGTAACTACGAAATACACTGGTATAGCTGTGCTACTATATTCCTCCAGTTGAGGGATTTAAGTGAAATATAAAGCAGTACATTAGTGCAATATGAAAGATATTCCAATCACTTGCTATTGTAAATTGCTTCAACAAAATGCTTTAGAACTAGATTGAGCCTTTAGGCTCAGCTCTGAGTAACACCTAGCTGCACCACAAGGGTAGCAAAGGAAAGGAATTTTGACTCCTCTCTTTTCCCACTTGCTTGCAGCCAGTGACGGGGTGAGGAGAAGGCTTGGGAGAGGAAAAGTGGATGAGACATCCCTACTCCTCCCTTCCTTCTGCTGGACTCCACACATGATCCAGGCTAAAACTGAAGGGCTCATCTACACCTTTTAAAACACTGAAAATCAGACACTTCAAATTTAGCAGCAGTTAAACCTAACATTACGGGAATCATAAAAAGGTAAATTAAAAAAAAATAAAGTTTACATGACAATAGTTTTGAAACTTACTGATTTCTAAATAACAGCCATACTGAGTGAGACCACTGATCCATCTAGCTCAATATTCTGACAGTGGCCGGTTGCCAGATGCTTCAGAGGGAATTAACAGAACAGGGCAATTATTAAGGATACAATTTAATCATAGAGGTCATGGAAGTCACAGATTCTGTGACTTTACCAGACCTCTGTGATTTCTTTGGCTTCAGCTGTCAGTGGCTGTAGCAGGGGCCAGATCCGTATGCTCCCCTAGCAGCCGCCCACAGCTAAGCCAGAGATGGGGCTGTGTGCACCCCCTTCCCCCTCTCCGCCCTCCGTGGCTTCAGCTAGGCTGTACACCCCACTGTGGTGGAGGGGCTCAGGCTGTCAGTTCCCCCTGCATGGGGCTCCAGCTCTCATTCCTTCCTCTTCCCCCATTTGTCCTCCTCCCAGTTATTTTTAGTAAAAGTCACAGACAGGTCACAGGCTCCCTCAAATTTTTGTTTATTGCCTGTGACCTGACTGTGACTTTTACTAAAAATAACTGTGACAAAATCTTAACCTTAGCAATTATCGAGTGATCCACCCCCTGTTGTCCAGTCTCAGCTTCTGGTAGTTAGACATTTAGGAACACCCAGAGCACAGGATTGCGTGCCTGGCAATACTGGTTAATAGTCATTGATGGACCTAACCTTCATGAACTTATCTAATTCTTTTTTTAACCCAGTTATACTTTTGGCCCTCAAAACATTGCCCGGCAACGAGTTCCACAGGTTGACTATGTGTTGTGTGAAGAAGTATGTGTTCTTGTTTGTTTTAAACCTGCTGCCTATTAATTTCATTGGGTGACCCCTAATTCCTGTGTTAAAAGACAAGGTAAATAACACTTCCCTATTCATTTTCTCCACACCATTCATGATTTTATAGATCTCTATCACATCCCCCCTTAGTTGTCTCTTTTTTAAGCTGAACAGTTCATCTTTTTAATCTCTCTTCATATGGAAGCTGTTCCATACCCTAATCCT